CATCACCATAGCACAGCTGATGAGTGGTGTAGGTCTGTGCCCGGGATCTGAACCCGTGAACCCTGGCCCATCAAAGCGGAGTGCACCAAACTCAACCGCTATGCCATGGGGCTGGCCCCTAGAATCTGCTTTTTGATATCTTAATAACATTTATGAAAATTTTGCAGACATGGCAGAATTTTCAGACATTTCACAACAGGCAGAGCAGGAATCTGATCTTTCATAGGAAAGAAACAGATTTTGATTGGTGTTTCATTGAATCTATGAATCAATTTAGGGAGACTTGCTGTCTTAAGAATATTGAGTTTTCTAATCCATAAACATAGTACTATAGCTTTCCATATATGTAGGCTTTTTTTTCCTCACCGAATTTCTGTAGTGTTCTATGTATAGGTCTTGCACATGTTTTCTTAAATTTGTCCCAATGTGTTTCATTTTTTGTTCTATTGTAAATGACGTTTTCTTCATTTTAATTTTCAACTGTTCCCTGATAGTATATAGAATTATATTATACTTTTGTGAATGGATCTTGAATCCTGAGACCTTGATAAACTCACTTTTTAATCCTAGAGCATTTATTTAGATTCCCTATGATCTCATATATTCCTTAAGCATGCACAGGTTGGTATCCAGCCAAAGCCTCAAGAGTTATTCTGTATGGATTTCAGCTTATTCCTCTCTGAAACTCTTTTCCGTAATTGCTAGCCTTCTTTTTCTTCTTTGAACACTTATCTCTGTCCCCTCATTTCAGTGAGAATGCTGGGCTTCTTTGTACCTGCAGCATTTAGTCTGGAAATTGCCTCTTGGCATAGAGCTTGCATGATGTCAGGGCTCACCTTGTTTCTTATCTGTCAGAGATCACAGCCCTTCTCTGCCTGTTGTCCAATGTCTGAAAATTCTGTAGTTTCCTTTTGGTTTTGTTTTCTAGTTATTGACAGCACAAGAGTAATTCTAGACCCTGCTGCTCCCTCATGGCTGAAGGGGAAGTTAAAGATAGGTGTTTAAGGATATACTATACGTATATAAACAAAGAGAAGCTGGGCCATTTGTTTTAGCTAAAAGAAATATGAAAACATGGTTAAATCTCTTTCCTGGAGAATCTGAAAAAGTAGCAGTTGTGACTTCGTATTAGGGACACTGTTATTTTCATCTTTTTATCCTCTAGTAGACACCCACTAAATATTTATTGATTGGATGTCAGAATGGTAGGAAATTGGTTAGGTGTTGGTAATGTTGTGTTTGAGAGAAAATTTTAGGACAACTCTAACTTTAACAGAACTCTTAACAAATTAATTTGGAAACTAAAAACGTTGATATTTTTCATCTATTTCAGCTTTCTTAGTTATAACATCTTTACTTACTCAGCTAGATTATTAAGTGCAGTAAACATGGCTTCTATTCCTTTTGTGTATCTACTTTGGCTTACTAAACTTGCATTTTTTAGATTGACTTCTTTGTGAGTGTGTGTGAGGAAGATTGTCACTGAGATAACATTGTTGCCAATATTCCTCTGTTTTATGTGGGATGCTGCCACAGCGTGGCCTGATGAGTGGTGATGCTAGATCCGCACCTGGAATCCGAACCTGTGAACCCTGGGCTGCCAAAGCAGAGTGCACGAACTTAACCACTATGCCACTGGGCTAGCCTCTAGATTGACTAACTTTTGAGTGGAAATAACTGATCAAAAATAAGGTTCTCACATTTTGTTCAGTGTCCTGGTATGCTAATATCAGAAATAGCCAGAATGTTAGCCATTGTGGTGAAATTTTCAATAGTGGAATTATAACAAAACCTGCTGAATATCTGTATTATTTGTCCATTTTTGTCTTGCAGGTATAAGGAATATTGATTCATAATCGAGATATTTCAATTCATTTAAATACCAATTATGGAAGTGTTATAAGTCAAATTTAAGCCTGGTAGTGAGCTGATATAGCCCCCTTTTCAGATTATAGTTTGAATATGTAAAGTTTGATTATGATGACTTCAATTTCACTGAATGGTTTTCTATTATTTTGATAGCATATTAAGTTATTTAAATAATCATAGTAAAATTTGTTGTTGGCTTGTTTTTTCTACATAAAAGAGACATAGCTGATCATTTAACCCTCCTTTCTACATGACTAAAAGTAATTTATAGAACAATACATATTCTCTGCTGTTAAATTTATACTTTCCCTAAGTCTAGTTTAAAGTATTTAAAATCTGTTAGGCATTAATATTGATGCATTTTAAGATATTAACTGCTTGATGTGATTTACTCATTTTAATAAATGGATTGATAATATCCAAGATTGAATAAATTAATTTCAAATTATTACTAGTCTTTAAATGGAATGATTGATTTCGTTATAATATCTTTGACCCACTCTTTAATTTTGAAAATTTCCTAACTTACAGAAAAAGTAGAAAGAATAGTAAAATGAACTTCCCTATACCCTTCACACATAGATCTACCAGTTGTTAAAATTTTAACACATTTGCTTCTCTTTCTTTGTATTAATTAATTAATTAATTAATTCATCCAAACCATTTTGAAGTATTTATCCTCTGTTTGAGAAATTTAGAATTGATACAGTACTATTTTCTGATATAAGTATTCCAATTTCAACAATTATTCTACTACTAGCTGTTTGATTTTATTCTTTTTTTTTTTTTTTTTTAAGATTTCATTTTTCCTTTTTCTCCCAAAGCCCCCCGGTACATAGTTGTGTATTTTTAGTTGTGGGTCCTTCTAGTCGTGGCATGTGGAATGCTCCCTCAGCATCGCTTGATGAGCAGTGCTATGTCCACACCCAGGATTTGAACCCATGAAACCCTGGGCCGCCACAGCAGAGTGCTCGAGCTTAACCACTTGGCCACGGGGCCGGCCCCATGATTTTGTTCTTAATCCAAGACCCAGTAAGGATTACACAGTGTGTGTATTTGTCATATTCATTAATTTACTTTGATCTACAACAATATTTCCACCTTTTTTAGGGGGGTTGTGGGATGTCTTTCTAGGCATTTCCTTCTTTTGAGAGTCCAAGCCAGTTACTTATAAAATATGCCATAATCTGGACTTACCTGATTGTGTCATCATGATTAGATTCAGGTTAAACATTTTTGACAAGAATACTATATAAAAGTGATACTTCGTATTTCTCATTGCATCATAGCAGGAGGCATATAATGTCAGCATCTTTAGTAAGGGAAGAAACTAAGTTAAATCATTTGATTGAGATAGTCTCCCTCAAATTTCTTGCTTGGAACATTCTTCCTTTGCCCCATTCCATATTTGTATTGTCCTTCTCCTATCCTGCAAGCCTAGTTCACAGCAGTTCAAGCCTGCTTCCCAGCGACATCAACTTTATGTCCATTTCACTGTCCTACAATAGACGCAAAATAATTTTACCCAATGTCGTTACCAACAATAAACCTACTATTAAAGTTCAAGACTTTTTTGTTTTTGTTCCTTGTATTAGTAGGTTGAAAAGTTAACAGTATGTTGAAAAGTTGTTTGTATTTTTTTCTTTGTGGTTATGTCGCAATTTGATATTTTCTTTGATTTCTTTACTTCTATTGTATTAAACTTTACCACTTTTAATTGAATTTGAAATTTAAATTGAATTTCGTTTTCAAAAAAGTAAAATTTTAACATTTGAAAAGTCAAGTTCATGTGAAGTATTACATTCAGAGAAGTCTTTCTTCTTCCCTATTTCTGTATTCCATTCCTTGCCACCCACCCTTATAGAAAACAATTTTAATTTTTGGTTTATTTTTCCTATGTTTCCTTTTGTAGAAGAACCAAATTTAAAATTACATGTAAATTCTAAAAGAATATGTTTATATACTAAAAGAATATATGTTCTTAATTCTTTCTTAAACCATATACACTCATACACACTTTTGAACCCTGCTCTTTTTTATTTTTTACTTGACAAAATATCCTGGCAATTACTCCATATAGATGGATGATTCCATACAGCTTTTCCTTTTTCTTTTTTGTTTTAAATTGCTGTGTGGTATACCACAGAATAGATTTATCATAGTTTATTCAACCAGTCTTATACGGATGGACATTTAGGTCGTTCCCAACATTTTCCTATTACAAATAATGTCTCAAAGAATACGTATACATGTGTTGTTTTACATTTGTGGACATGTATCTTCAGGATAAATCTCTAGAAGTCAGATTGCTAGATCATCAGACGGTTACTGTATCTTTATCTTATGCTTTTCTCTCTGTTACCTTCTGTTTCTCTCCTCATTCCTTTAACTCTCAAATATACATGCATTTCTTTTATACTCCAAATATTTGAGAATATGATAAGATTTTATTGTCTTTTGACTTTGTATTTTGCTAACTATAAGTGTTAGAAACAAAATCGATGGTGGCTTTAGGATAGCTAATAGAAGTTTTAGAAACCTCAGGAATTTGAACTAATTATGAAAGATAACATTTCATATCAGTGAAAAATATGCATTTTAAAAGAAATCCACTGTCACTAATTTATGGCAGAGAAATTAAATTTTATGAGACTAATGAAATGATAAGATTAGAATTGAAATTTTTAACACTTTATTTCTGAATTTTTAAAACAATTTATTAGACATGAGCATAGTTTAGCTTAACTTATATATGAATTACTACAAGTATGACAATAATAGTGACAACCACTGCTAATACATATTATCTGGGCTTTTAATGACAATGCTATACTACTTCTGTTGGGACTCACTATTATTTTCCTATATCAAGCCAGCATTGACGTAAGGTCTGTGTGAGTTTAGATTCTGAGCTCTTAACCGCTATGCTCTGTTTCTCTCCCTGAAAGTAGTATAATAACATTTTATGTGGTGGTTATATTAGATTTATTATTCTAATACAGGGTTGGAATTCTATTCATAACTGCCACAGCTTCTAAGCATCCCTTTTATGCCACCATCTATGGCAGAATACTGAACTATGTGTTCTATTTTTCTGACCCATTAATATTATTTATGTTCCTATTTTTCAGTGGATGATTCAGCAACCACACAAAGCAGCAACATTTTTTGGATGCATCGGAATAGATAAATTTGGGGAGATCCTGAAGAAAAAAACTGCTGAAGTCCATGTGGATGCTCATTATTATGAACAGAATGAGCAACCAACAGGAACCTGTGCTGTGTGCATCACTGATGACAACAGGTCAGTGTAATTCCAAGGGAAGCCCTGTACTAATTGGCTTTTTAAACACTGGTATACTCTGAATTCCAATCTGAATTTGGAATTTAGATCTCATGTTTATAATTGCTTTTAATATTTAATAAACTCTTCTTCCTTGTATCATTTTTTCTTATTTTAAAAAAATTTCCTTTGTTGAACCTGCTGTTGTCTTCATGAGGCATATGAGAATGAAATTTTTGAGATTGTCTAGTCTAATCTCTACTTTTTATAATTAGGATCAGAAAAGGAAAGCATTTTATTCAATGTCTTGTGGCTAGTTTCTTGCCAAACTGGCATTAGAAAGAATGTTCTTTTCACCATATCCTGAGAGTAGAATATTCAAATACATATATACATATTTCTTTTTGTTTTAAAGATTGGCACCTGAGCTAACGTGGCCTGGTGAGCGGTGCCATGTCTGTGCGCAGTATCTGAACCAGTGAAACCCTGGGCCACTGAAGTGGGGCGCATGAACTTAACCACTCGGCCATGGGGCCAGTCCCTACATATGTATTTTTTAACATATATGAAATACTACATTATATCTAGTCTCATATGAATTAGGACATCTAAAGCATTTTTGGCAAATAGTCATCCATCCATATTAAAAAACTTCAGTCCTGAGTAATGCACTTCTCAAGAAGCAACCCATTACATTTCTCTACAACTTTGCTTATTAGAGAATTCTTCTGTATATGAATTTGAACTATATCTCTCAGGGCCTTCCATGCATTGGTTGTATTTGTGCTTTTTGCAGCTACATGGAGGTTTTCCTTCAATACATTCATGTGTTGCTAACAGCATTTTTACCATATTGCTCATCAGCATAGGCTTTTTTCTCCTTTGCAAAGGAAAAATAAAGTAAATTTCCTAGCTATTATATTGTTAGAATCACCAAAGATTTTCTCTTTTTAAATAGAGATTCACTAAAATTTTGTATTCCTCATAGCTGGAAATATTTAGTCTGTCCTCCTGTATTCCCTGTCTCCCTTCTTTTCCCTCCTTTCTATTTGCTTCTTTGTCTTCCTTTCTTAATCTCCTCCGTTTTTTCTCCTCCCCTTGCTCCATTCCCCTTTCTTACTCCTTTTATTTTTGCTCACTCCTTGACCTCCAGCAAACGTGAATGTATGTTAAGGATCTGACAGTATTCTGGGCAGTAGTCATTAAATAACTAAAATTTAACTTGCAAAAACAGAGTGCCAAACCCATTTTTAATCCTTTCCTGTAACTTTATTTTGTGTGTGTAGGAGAACTTTATGAATTTAAAGTTTCAATAAATAAAACCATCCGTTGTTCAAACATATTTGAAATATTCTTGTTTAGATCTTTCTCCTTTTTCAGTTTTTCTTTTTTTTTTTTTTAAAGATTTTATTTTTTCCTTTTTCTCCCCAAAGCCCCCCGGTACATAGTTGTGTATTCTTCGTTGTGGGTCCTTCTAGTTGTGGCATGTGGGACGCTGCCTCAGCGTGGTTTGATGAGCAGTGCCATGTCCGCGCCCAGGATTCGAACTAACGAAACACTGGGCCGCCTGCAGCGGAGCGCGCGAACTTAACCACTCGGCCACGGGGCCAGCCCCCTTTTTCAGTTTTTCTAAAACCAACTTTTATGTGCAGGTGCGAAGTTTTCTCATTAGTCAGAAATGGGTCAAGTTTTGCCTCTGATACCACTCAGGCTAGAGTAAAATTGCTAACTTGTTTTTATATGGTAAATTGCTATTTTAAAGAACTGTTATGATAATATTAGGTCTCCCAGATGCCAGCAGCTTAATTTATATACTAATCTGCCTATAATGATCAGTTTTTGTTTGTTTGTTTTCTAAAGATTGGCACCTGAGCTAACATCTGTTGCCAATCTTTTTTTCTTTTTTCTCTTCTTCTCCCCAAAGCCCCCCAGTACATAACTGTATATTCTAGTTGTAGGCTTTGCTATGTGGGATGCCACCTCACCATGGCTTGATGAGCAGTGCTAGGTCCACACCCAGGATCCGAACTGGCAAAACCCCGGGCTGCTGAAGCAGAACGAGCAAACTTAACCACTCAGCCATGGGGCTGGCCCCTATAATGATCAGTTTTGTTCAGATGATATTGGAAGTCAAAAACTGGAAGTCACGGTCTAACTCATTGTCCAAATTGTGGAACCTCAGAAAATTGGATAAATTGTTTTAGATAGGTCTGGTAACTCTTACTGCCACTATCCAAAACTCGGGAATCAAAGAATTTGGATAATATAATCTTCCCAATCCACGTTCTCATTCTCCAAATGTATCTAAATACATTTGGAAGGTAAGAATATGTGTATCTTTCTTTTGGAGAAGTTATGTAGTTTCCTATCGAAGAGTAGTTTTGGTATCGAAATTGAGTTTAGTAGCTGATACTGGAAATGTTTGCTTTTATTTAGTAACCATTTTTGTCAAAATTTTACTAAAGTCTTGATTACTAAAATATTTTTTATAAATTAGGCCTAATTATTCTAAAGTGTGTAACAGTTATTTTTTCGTATGAATTTATCAATGTGTGTGTTACTCTTATTTTCCTTCATTTAATTGAATATAAACAGATGTATCCTTCAGTAGTCGGTTGGCATGTGGATGAGTTTTGGAAGAGAATCGATCTATTTTTTTCTTAACAGAGAAACCAGCTATATTACCAAATTCTCAAGTGGTGAGATGATATATTTGGATTTTTTAAAATCATAACTGTGAGCATTTGATTAGCAAAATGAAAAATTGGCAAGTTATTTTCTAGTTTGAGTCAGAATGATGAGGGAAAGATTTTTGGTTTTGTTTTTTTTGAAGATTGGTTACCTGAGCTAACATCTGTTGCCAGTCTTTTTTTTTTTTCCTTCTTCTCCCCAAAGCCCCCCAGGAAATAGTGCATATTCTAGTTGTAGGTCATTCTACTTCCTCTATGTAGGATGCTGCCCCAGCATGGCCTGATCAGCAGTGTCATGTCTGCGCCCAAGATCCAAACCCGTGAAACCCCAGGCCACCGAAGTGGAGCACACGAACTTAACCACTCATCCCTGGGGCTGGCCCCAGGAAAGTATTTTATTAATTTGTTTGTAATGTAAATAATTATTTTATTAAGTTTAACTGTTGGGCAATAATGAAAAGCTCTATGTGACAGTTGCAGCAAGATTTTAAATGCAGTATCCTGCTTAGATCTTTTAGCTGTAAAACTGAACCAGCACAGGGAGTTTTCAACTATAGAAACTACTTTAAATTTATTCCAGTCCTTAAAATGTAATGATTTGCAAATTAATTCCTCATAGTAAATACAGTCTACATTTATATGTGTGTTTTGTGAAATTAATCCCATACTTGATTTCTAAAGTATTAGACTAAATAATAAATGTACAGCATGTTGATACTTAAAAATGAAGTTTTTACTAGCATATATATATATTTTTTTCTGCGTAACAGCATGGTAGCATATTTCTTAACTGCATTTTGAACTATTAATATGTAGAAAGTAGATAGTCGTATCATGTTAGTTTCAAAATGTAACTTAAATGCCAGGTTCTCAAAATACCACATCGTATTTAGGACATGTATTAACATCTTTGTTTTTCTCAAAGGCCACATAGAAGTTTCAAAAAGTTCCCAAAACAAAATTAATTTTATATATATTTATTATAGTCAATATACAGCAAAATTTGCAAAAATAATGTTAATTGACAAGTTTGGCAACAGTGTAAGTAAAACCTATGCTTTTTGTTGTTGTTGTAGGTCCCTTGTAGCTAATCTTGCTGCTGCCAATTGTTATAAAAAGGAAAAACATCTTGATATGGAGAAAAACTGGATGTTGGTTGAAAAAGCAAGAGTTTATTACATAGCGGTAAGTATTTACCTAATTCAAATTTTTGGTACATATTACATAGCAGTAAGTATTTACTTAATTCAAATTTTTGTTACGTATTTACTCTATAAATTATAGTTGTTAGTTGATGTAAATTTTTAAATAGTTGTCCATTACTTGTCCTGCAAATTCTTTCTTCTTTTTTTTTGAGGAGATTGTCCCTGAGCTAACATCTGTTGCCAATCTTCCTCTTGTTTTTTTTCTCCCCAAAGCCCCAATACATAATTGTATATCCTAGTTGTAGGTCATTCTAGTTCTTCTATGTGGGATGCTGCCACACTATGGCTTGATGAGCAGTGTGTAGGTCCGTGCTCAGGATCTGAACCGGCAAGCCCTGTGCTGCCAAAGTGGAGTGTGGGAACTTAACCACTCAGCCATGAGGCCAGCCCTTATGCTGCGAATTACTTATTTTTCTCAAAGCATGTGTTAGGTTCACCATTACAAATACAGAACGGACATATGATCACTGTATGGTAACATAGTTTATATTATTTACCTTCAAGTCTACCTCTTTTTGGATATGTTATACATAGATTTTTCTTTAACAAGTACTGTCAAATTCTGTATTAAATCAGTTTCTTAAGATCTTTTGAGGTAATTCTGCAAATTTACATTTTATATTTTTAGGCTACTTGTTATGAATGATGCATGCATTGTGTCGGAAAATATTAGTGGTATAAATATTCACTGCAAACAGTTTGAGCTTATTTGCCTAAAAAAATCTTAATTGCTATTTATTCCATAGTAATTACCATTTAACTTAATATTTTAGAAACATTGATCAGGACAAATCTCTTAAATCTGAGAACAAGGGCAATATGTAATTTGAATTATTGTCTTATGACATAAAAATAATTGGTTAAGAATTTATTTCTAAAATAAGACTGTACTAAAAATCCTCCTGAATTAATCACCCATTGAATACCTTGTGTTTATTTAATATGAGTTGACCATGTCTGGTCACAAATAAGTAGATACCTATGAAAAATTAAAAGCACCTCATATGCATATAATCTATGGTTTTGATATAACAGCTGCTGCCATTCACTACCTGAGCTGTGAAACAGCTGGTGCTGGTGAGACGTGTAAAAGATTGATTATCCAGTAGGAACATGTTTGTTGAGAATTTAATTATTTCTTTCAGTCTAGTGTTAATATTTCCTACAGCATGTTTATGTGCACTGCTGTAGGCTTTACAAGGTTGTTATTGATTCCTCTGTATAGGAAATCCTACCTCTTTATAACTGTCACATAAATGCTTACATCGAGAGGATTATGTAGAAGAAAGTCACGTTACCTCCTCTGCCAGTGTGTGAGAAAACATTTCAAAAACTAAAAATTTTTCCTTCTTGATTACCTTCTATTTTATTTTATTTCTCCAAATGATCTGATTTTTTGGTTAATGTCTTGTTAATTTCTTTGTTAATGTTTTGTAGTTTGATTCTTTAGCAGGGATCTGTGTGCTATTTCAAACTATCTTACATCTGTAAGTCTGAATTTCAAAGAGCACATGGTTTAAAATTTGAAATTATTTATATTATTTATATTGACTGAAATTATGACAGTATATTATGATACTGCAAGTTTAGCTTGAGTAGATATTTATCTATGCTTATTTAAACAAATCAGGTGGACTCCTCCACACTTTCAGATTCTATAGGGTCAGCAGTCCTCTCATCTCATCAGCATTAACTACTGAGGTTTAATAAGTTGAAATTCTGAGAGCTCTTTAGGTATAAAAAGTTCTTGATCTAAGGAAGCAACTCAGTATATCTGTTCAGTGAAGTTCCATAATTAAGACATCTGTCTGAATTATGTAAAATAATCCAGATCTACATTGTCGTCTTCTTTCCACTCTTCCATAAATTGGTAATGGTCATGAGCACTAAGAAAATTCAGACTCTTTGGTACCGGCCTGGTCGCGTAGTGGTTGAGTTCATGCGCTCCACTTTGGCATGCTGGGGTTCAACGTTTCGGATCCTGTGTGTGGACCTAGCACCACTCCTCAAGCCACACTCTGGCAGCAACCCATGTAAAATAGGGGAAGATTGGCACAGATGTTAGCTCAGCAACAATCTTCCTCAAGGAAAAAGAGGAAGATTGGCAACAGATGTTAGCTCATGGCCAATCTTCCTCACAGACACACACACACACACACACACACACACACACACACACACACACTTCAAAATCTGGATCATTCTCTCTGTCACATAATGCAATGGACCTACAATGCAAAGTTCACATCAAAAACTTTTCTGATAAAAAGCTGAAATGGAATATACATATACCAACGTTCTCTTTTGGTTTAAATAAAGTGTTGACATTTTTTTTTAAATCTCCAGAGCAGGTGTCTCATTTATAGCATGTAAACTCAGTTTTTTCATGTTTAAACCAAATTCCTTGTTAGTAGATGATTAGAGATTACTGGTTATAGTGATAGCTAGTTATATTTTTCAAAATATAAATCTCAGGTGCTCTTCACCTTAGCACTAGATAGGCATATATCTGTTTCTTCTCTTACAAGAAATATTTCTTCTGATAGCCCTCTAAGACGATGATATTTAGGACAGAGTTATAAAAACGATTAGGAAATTGAAGCCATTAATTTTTCTAAACTGTGTGTTTCCTTTTTTAAGCAACATTACTGTGGTATCAAAAATGAGAAAATTAGCACTCAGTGTTTCATCCTGCCTCTTGATTTTTCATAGTTATATTTCTATTTTATTTTTGTTTTCAGTGTTTAAACATTTGCATTCTGTTCTACAACCACAGTTCTTACAGTCTTAATTCTATATTTAATTGAGTCAAATGCTTACAACCGATTACTTTACCCCCATTCCTTAATTGTTTATTTTGATTCTCTCTCAATTGGCTGCATTTTGTCATCAAACATTTTTTCCCTCAAGAAAGGACTCAGAGCTCTTTTTTTCTTGAGCTTTTGTTTACTTTTTCTTGCTTTTATAGATAAATGACAACTTGTTTGGCGTGATATTTTGTGAAACAAAGTACTTTGTAGACGTTGCTTTATTGTCTTCTAGCACTTTTTATGGAAAATCCAAGTCTGGGTTAATTATTATTTCTGTTCTTTATTATTCCTTTTTTTCTGTTTACTTTGGATTTTATTTGTTCCTCTTCTACTCTTCCTCCTTCATTTATTTTCATTCAGCTTTCCACTTTTTCTTTTACTTTCTCCTTTGACTCATGGGTTATTTAGAAGTGTGTTATTTATTTTCTAGATACGGAGATTTCCCAGAGATCTTCCTTCTTTGTTGCTGGTGCCGTGGAGTCGATTCTGACTCCTAGTGACCCTGTGTAGAGAAGATCAGAACCCTGCCTGGTCTTTTTGTGCCATCCTCTCATCTTCCAGCTCTATATCAGCCATTGGTCCACTGCTATTCATAGGGTTTTCGTGGCCAATTTTTTTGGAAGTGAGTGTCCAGGTCCTTCTTCCTAGTCTGTCTTAGTCTGGAAGCTCCTCTGAAACCTCTCCACCATGGGTGACCCTGCTGGTATTTGAAATACTAATGGCATAGCTTTCAGCATTACGGCAGTTTGCAACCATCACAGAATGACAACCGATATATGCAAGGTGTGGTTCCCTAACCTAGAAAGGAACACAGGCTGTGATCCTTTGAGTCTTAACCACTATACCACCAGGGCTGACTCTTCCTTCTACTAGCATGAATTTATATATTCCTCTTTGCAATTCTATCAGATTTCTCTTAATGTATTTTAAAACTCTGTTATTAGGTGTGTAAAGGTGTAGCATTGATTATTTGACCCATTTATCATTTTGAAATATTTATTCCTGATAATATACTTTGTCCTAAAATCTACTCTATAGGAAACTCTGATATTAATGTAACCAATCCAACTTCCTTTTGATTATTGATATTATGGTATGTCTTTTTCCATCCTTTTAGTTATAACCTATTGTATGTTTATTTATTTATTTACTTATTTTAAAGATTTTTATTTTTTTCCTTTTTCTCCCCAAAGCCCCCCAGTACATAGTTGTGTATTCTTCATTGTGGATCCTTCTAGTTGTGGCATGTGGGACGCTGCCTCAGCATGGTTTGACGAGCAGTGCCATGTCCACACCTAGGATTCGAACCAACGAAACACTGGGCCGCCTGCAGCGGAGCACGCGAACTTAACCACTCGACCACGGGGCTAGCCCCTGTGTGTTTATTTTTAATGTGCATCTCTTGCAGGCAGCATATTGTTGGATCTTATTTTTTGTCCAACCTGACAATGCCTACCTGTTAATTGGGCTGTTTTTACCATTCCCATTTAATGTGATTATTGATATGGTTAGATTTGAGTTCATCATCTTGGTATTTGTTTTCCGTTTGTCCCATTTGTTGTTCTTTCTCTTTCCTGCCTTCTTTTGAATCAATCCAGTATTTTTGTTTTGTTTTGCTATTTTAGTGATTGTATTAGGGTTATAATGTACATCTTTAATTCATTGCAGTCTGCATTCAAATAATACTATGTGACTTCCCACGTAGTATAAGACCTTTACAATAGCATACTTCAATTTTATGTCTCCTAGCCTTTATGCTGTCATTTCATACATTTTAATTTTTTTAAATTTTAATTATTTTTTAAAACAACTTTATTAATATATAATTTGCATTTTTCTTTTACATACTTCACAAACACTGTAACACATTATTTTTGTTTAAATTCTCAAATATCTTTTAAAGAGATTTAAATAATTTTTTTAAAACATATATTTGGTCATTTAGTTACCATTTCCTGTGCTCTTCATTCCTTTTGCTTAGAATTAGGTTTTCATCTGGTATCATTTTCCTTCTGCCTGAAGAGCATTTTTTAGCATTTCAAGTACTTGGATCTGTTGGTCATGAATTTGTTCAGTTTTTGTATGTTTGAAAATGTCTTTATTTCACTTTGTTATAAAAGAGATTTTTACTGGGTCCATAATTCTAAGTTGACAGATTTTTTTGTTTTGT